GAAACAATTTTACTCTAATGCAAGAGATAAAAGTTGCAAATTAACTTTTGATAGTTGGCTCAGGCATAAGCAGTTGGCCAAGACTTGTTAATTCTTTGTTTTGCTTCCTTTCCTATGTTCTGTAGACATCTGCTGAGCATGACACCAAAGTTATTGGTATAGTGGAGCCATTGTTCAGTCTCAGAGGCACAGAATCCCTTAGTATCATCTGCAAATATCATTACGTGTATGTTTGTTCATTTTTTTTTCTGAAGAGACTTGGTAGCCTTTTGTGGATTTTTAGAATGGCCCATAAAATTTATCATCTATATATATAATAAAAATATATGATCCACCTTGTATGTAGTTTTACTTTCTATGGTTTTCTTACCTAGGTAACCATGATCTGAAATATTACATAGAAAATTCCTGAAGTAAACAAAAAGCCTAAAATTAGATGCCACTTTGAGAAACATGATGAACTTTCAAGCTTGAGGAGTGAATGGTTCCTTCTACCTGCCCATTAGGAATTCAGTCATCTCATCATCATACCTACGTGCTTATGTTCAAGTTATCCTGGCTTTTCTTAGTAATAACCCCAAACCGTTAAGAGCAATGATTGGTGGCCGAAGAGAAGCTATAAAATATTTATTTTACATGGAAATGTAAAACATTCTTTACTTACTAAGGAATTAAAAGAATTATATACATTTCTAAGATCTACAGTAAAGATGAATAGGGCAAGCCCTCCATGTTATAGATTCTGTGGTTTCGAGCATCCACTGGTGGTCTTGGAATGAATTCTTTTTTGATAAAGGGAGACTAGTGCATGTACAGTAGAACACTACAGTCAGTATTTACCACAGTGAATCTTCCTGGAACATGATATAATGCCTTAGATGAAAACACTAAGGAATATAACAGAAAGGAACAGCAACCTGATTTATTACTGGAATGTGGAATTTGCTCTCTCTCTCTCCTCTCTCTCTCTCTCTCTCTCTCTCTCTCTCTCTCTCTGTGTGTATGTGCATGTATGTTTGTACAGGTGTATGTAGAGATGAGAGGTCAACCTCAGATATCACTCCTCATGCACTATCCACCTTGTTTTTTGAGACAGCATCTCTCACATGGTATGGAAACCATCAATTTGACTGTCCTGGTTGATGGCAGTCCTTAGTCATCCTCCTGCCTCTGTCTTTCCAGCACTGGGATTTAAAATGCACACTACCACACTTGGTTTTTCATATATGAGTTTTGGGCTTCAAAATCAGGTCTATGTGTTTCTGTGGCAAGTATACTGACTGAGCCATCTCCTTACCCATCACGGTCATTTCTTATATTGCATCCCCACCAAACAACTTCTTCCATGAAAACTTCCAGCGGCCAGGGAAGGATTACTAAGTACCACAGCCCCAGTCATGATACATGGCTTTATGTGTTTTCAGTTTTTTTACATTCTACTTTACTCATGATGTATATACACTACAAGGGACATGGGCAAGAATGACGGCCAAAGACAAGACTGAAAGCCCAAGGAAGGCGTAGTGTGGGAAATGTCTACTTGGAAAGGCTGGAGACACAGCAGGTGGGGGTCGTGGGATCGGAGCAAAGCAAGCCTGAGATTCTTGGCATCTACAGAACAAAAGGGGAACCCTAGCTCTTCCTATCTGACCCAAGGACACACATTGTGTTCCCAAAGGAGGAAGAGAGTCTCCTGTGTCCTAGGGTGATTTATGACTTTTTTTTTTTTAAACTGTGAACCTTTAAGAGGCACAGTGCACAGTGGCTGTTTGCCAGATGTCTTACTGGAATCATAAAGACATTTCTTGAAACAACCCTCAATAGAAACTGGACTCTAGCTTTTAAAAATGGATAAACGGTACTTAATTGCTTCAGTAAGTCTGTTTCCAGTTGCATGACCCAGATGAAGGGGTGGAGCCCATTTCTGGATGTAGTTTCAAAGATATGAATTCCATTTTCCTCTACTCTCTAGAAGACAGTTGGTGCCAATGAAAGCTTTCTTGCTCTGTTCTCCGAACAGAAAGACATTCAAACGAGCGCATCTTTTGGCTTGGCCATCCTACGCCCCTCCTTTGCGGTGACTCTTTGCAGACCACCGTGAGACAGAAACTGGGGGAGAAGGATCCACACATGCCATGGTTTAACTCTAACTCTTGACACAGTGAGAAAAGCAGGGCCCCATGGAACCCTAAAGACCTGCTCAGACCCTATTTTGAGGTTTGAGTCGAAAGAAGTAAAAGATTTAGAGTATTATCCCCATTAAGATCTCCACATCTTTTTCTTGGCTCTTGATTTGGTGTAGAAAGTTGCTTTGTTGCTATTTTTTGAGCAAGTTTTCATATGTGGTTAGAAATAGATGTATTCATACATTGTAGAAATCGTTTCAAATTGTTTAGTTTTAAAAAAGAGACTTTTATGTGTCTCTCAGTGTGTCTATGGATATTTGCATGTACATGCTGGTGTCCACAGAGGCCAGAAGAGGGCATGGGATCCCTTGGAGATGGAGTTGCAGGTGGCTGTGAGCCACAGGACATGAGTGCTAGGAACTGGACTCTTAAGCACTGAGCCATCTCTCCAGCCCAACTGGTTAGGTTTTAAACTCCATAATCAGGATGCTATGCTAATAGTATTCAATGAAAATGTCAATTCTTAAGGAAACTTTTTGGAACATGTCTATGTACATTATAATCAGAGGCTTATTGGGTGGTCCCAGAATAGAAGTTAGGGAGTTACAGTAGCTGCTGGTAATATCAATTCAGTTAATTTTATTTTCTGATAGTTGCCTATCAGCAAATTTAAATCTGAGTCTTTTAGTGCTATTTTCAGATGTCAAGTGTCCACAAGAAGTCCACATGGTAACTCTTGCTCCCCAGGACACTGCTGGGAGGAGGTGGGGACTAGCAGTAGTATGCATTGAAGGCAAACTCTGGATTAATTATAGGATCCCAACCTCTTTCTCTTCCTCTTCTTAAATTAGATTTTTTTGTAGTTGATGCTAAAATAATCCAGTTTATAAACACTCTATGGGAATGATTTAGGCTTAAGTTGTGGATAAATTCAGAGTTTATTTATTTACTTACTTATTTATTTATTTATTTATTTATTTATGAGTGTGTGTGCACATGAGTGTTGTGTGTTTACCTGCATGTGTGTTTGGGCACCTTGTGCATGCTTGGTCCCTGAGAAGGCCAGAAGAGAGTGTCCGACTCTCTAGAACGAGAGTTGGAGATAGGTGTAAGCCACCATGTGGGCAGTGGGAACTAATCCTAGGTCCTGTGCAGGAGCAGCAAGCGCTCATAACCGCTGAGCCCTCCTCACACCTCCAACAAACTCAGAGTTTAAAGCACTAATATCTTGGCTGGAATCTGCTTTCCTCTGCGTGGTGGCTTCTTTATCAGGCCCCATGTGGAGATGAACTATGCTGTAGCTTCTGTCCTGCACTTCTCGAATGTAAATCCAGCAGCAGCAAAAGAAAATACTTTGACATAGCCCCTTCAACCAAATTCTGGCATTAGTTTTGGTGTGATATGAATTGGCTTGATTAAGCAAAGGGGTCCATCCCTGATGGGGATAGAGTTAATTGATAGGTTGGAACCTAGAGAAGGAGCCTTGAGACTAAAGATGGAAGGAAATAGGGCTCCTGATAGACAAGGGAGTGTGGATGCTGGGAGGGAAAACACCAAGCCAGAAGAAGGTAACAGATGGAGGGGATGCAAGCAAGGGGTACAGATGCGACTGATTTTACAAGAACATGTTCTCATGTTTGAGATGGTAGCAAGGATGACAGACACAGGCAATAGACATGTAGGTGGGGCAAGTTGAGGAAACACATGTTAAATAGTTTTATTTTCAACTAAAAGCCACAGGAAGAAATATGTAGTGTTTAAAAAATATCTTAAATCTATTGCACCAATTATATTACATCAAATACTTACCAACAAATAGAAACAAAAAATAAAATTGTACAGCTGGTAGATCAAATAAATGCTTTCATTTCCCTTAATTTAGACATAATCTATAAAACCTAAGCATGACTTTTAAATGTCACAAAATTCTTCATAACATTTTAGTTGCAAACTATTCCATAGAATAGATGGCTCATAACTCATTTAGACATTCTGCTGAAAAAGGCATTGTAATTGCTTCTATTGTCAACGTTAAAAATCAAGTTACAATTATATTCAGTTAATGTTTTTTTTCCCTTGAGGTGTTTCTACAGTATATATTCCCAGGAACAAGATATTAGTATGAAAGACAATGTATATTTTGTGCCTCCTGAGTTTGCTACAAAATAATAGTTCATGATGCATGTGTGAGTAACTATTAATGCCTCCAGTCGTATCTGAAAATACTAGCTTTAGCATGTGCTGATATTTTAGCCATTTTATCCCATTCATATCTACAAGAGAACAATTAATAGAACACATTAAACCACTAATGTCAGGAGGGATCTTACACTTCAATCATGATAACATATTTAATATTCACAATAAATGAGGGAAATTTTACAGTGATCTCTATTTTATGAATAGGGAAATAAAGACATGAAAAGACTACGTAGGCCACTGAGGGCTCCATAGCCAAGAATGGGAGAACTGGTGTTTGGACCATGGGGATTGACCCCAGGCTAGGCACACTCAATCATGAGGCTGTATTGCTTTATGATAAGTTTTGGTAGATGTTTCCACAATCCTGTTAATGACTATATACTCTAGTTATTAGAATTTCATCATGCCTTTCTCTGGCAGGTTCTTGATAATTCTGCCCCAGAGTAGAGGCAATAGTAGGATTTTTATGATTTGAATGCCTCACATGGTGAGCGATTTACTGTAAGTCATGTATTTTCTTTATCTTTCACTATTGTGTATTGTGTTTGAAATGAAGAATTATATTTAAAAAACCCAAGTATTTTCATCTAACCAAGGAACACCGGGGTCTTTATTTTAGCTCTGATGGTTGTATCAGCTAATCCATTCCTGCTGGTTTCCATGGAAACATACCTTTTGGGTGTGCTTGAACATCTGAAATGTGGGTACTGCTTTGATGTGACAGAGTTGAGTCAATTCCTGGGAAAGAAAAGACAGTTTTGATGACTTTTCTCTGTACCAAGTGTGCTACTTGGTGACTTCTAAGAAGCACTGTCTTTGTGAAATCACAGTTTTGGTGACTTTCTCTGTACCAAGTGTTCTACTTGATGACTTCTAAGAAGCAATGTTCTAAATCCCAAGGGCACCTGACACTTCATGGGATTTTCCTAACATACCCTCAAAGCCTCCAGGACAACCCTGTGTAAAGAGGACCATTCTGGTACTCTTGGGTTTCTTACCCAGAGCTCTAGGCGAGGGATGAGATGAAGGTCAAATGGAATGGATGAGGAGTGACTAAATGAGAGTATTTAAAAACGCTGAGTGATGGCAGAGGAGCCCCAGGAAGCCTCTATGGAAATAGCATATTGCAAAAAGAGGAAGGAGCAGGCATGTCTTCATCAGTCACACTGAAGACAGGCAGGACACACTCAAGGCTAGCACAATTTTCCCTTTAAGCCCTGTTATCCTTTCTCCCTCACTACTCATCTTTACTTCTGAAACATTTGGAGCCCAAGGACAAGAGAAATGGACAGAATGCCATAATTTTAATCCAGACCAAATGGCTTCCAAATGGCATTTCTTCTTCCCCTTGTTTAGAAGTTGAGTACAGCTTTCTGACAACGGAACTGAACTCTCTCATTGATATACCATTTGATTGACTTTAACTCTTTTCCACCCACAATGCACACAAACACAAAGAAGCATTGCACACACACTAAGTTGTATTTTTAATTACAATAGCCACAGCAACAGCTAATCCAAAAGTTATTACTAGAAAAGTGTGTCTTTTGCTTTGCCTTAAAAGACAGAAAGCTATAATCGGAAAGCTGAGAGTAACTTGTGTTGGCAAGAATGTGGGGACTCAGAACTCTCTACTGTAGTAGTGAGTAAAATTTATACAAATACTATCACAATAGCTCAAATCTTCTCAAGTATGCCAAGTTTGTGTCATTGACAAAATTATGACTAATTATGACACAGAAGATAATGAATTTTTGGTTTTCTGATGGTTTTAAAGCTCAGCTTCAATCTGATGCTTGGGTAGGTCACTTGCTGTCTTTTCTGCTTTAGTTTGAATGCAGAATACCTCTCCTGGGTTAGTCTGGTCTCCAGCATGGAGCTATTGGGAGGTAGCAGAACCTTTAAGAGGTGGGGGGCCTCCTGGGAGGCCATTATTCCTTTTGGGCCATGTCCTTAAAGGGGACTGTGGTACATTGGCCCCTTCTTTTTCTCTTTTTCTTCCTGCTGATGGTGGGATCATTTGGTTCTGCCATGCACTCCTGTCCAAATGTGCTGCCTTCCACAGGTCCAAATGTGCTGCCTTCCACAGGTCCAAATGTGCTGCCTTCCACAGGTCCAAAAGCAACTAGGCTTTGACCAAGGACTCAAATTTCCAAAATGGCGAGACAAAATAAACCTTTCTCTTTCTCTTAGGCATTTTTCTATAGTGTCAGAAAGCTAATTAATACACTTACATTTCCAAATATATATATATTTGTTATAAACTAACAAATCCTAGGGAGAATAATCCCTAGGAGATAAATATTAGTAAGACATATTTGGCTTGACACTAGGAGGCTGATTATTTTGGGGGGAGGGACAGGAGAAGGGGGAGGATGGATCTTAGGGACAGGAGGGAAGGATTTCCTAGAAATTTTTTATGCTATATAAGTATCCCTCCCCCACCCCCCCAAAAAAAACCAAACACGGGTTACCAAAATGAGATATGTCAAAATGTCTGTAATTATTGAGTTAGGTTTTAGAAAATTATTAACTTACCACAACCTAAAAATAAATTTTCACCTTGGCTTCATTGTAATGTCTGCCTAGCTTAGCATTTCTCAATCTTCCTAATGCCGAGACCCTTTAACACAGTGCTTCATGTTGTGGTGACCCCTCAACCATAAAATTATTTAGTTGCTACTTCAAAACTATAATTTTGCTACTGTTATGAACCATAATGTAAATATCTGGTATATGATTCCAAAGGGGGCGTGACCCACAGGTTGAGAACCCCTGGCCTACACTGGCAGGCTGGGGAGCAAGTGATGAAGACTGTTGGAATTGACTGGTGATGTCTGCACAGCAGGAGGGAGTACCATATAGTTGCTAATATTTAAAGAAAATTATGTAAAACAGTTTGCTACATTCATCATGAAAACGAAGATGTGGAATCCCACTTGTTTTTAACCAGGTAGTGTCATCAATTTTACAGAGTGACTGACTCAGTGGCATTGCATTTGGGTTTTGATGGTCCACACAGACGATTCCAGAGTCCTACCTTAGAGGAGTCCACGTCCACATTAGCAAACATGACGTTTTGGTATTTTAAAGACATCGCCTTCAAGACAAAAGAATAAAATAACATAAATATTAACGTTTGCACCAGAAATGTCACTTTGGAAAGAAGAAATGTATGACCTGGTTGTTAAAGAGACCTAAGCATCCTTCTGAAGGTTCATTACAGCCTAGAACTTGAAGCCCCTCAAGGTCAAGCGAGGATCCATTGCAGAGTCAAAGAACAAAACTGAAGACTGGACTTTCAAGATTTGAGGACCAAAAGCAGAGCAATTGAGCTGTGTACAGGGGGCCAGACCTACCCTGTCAGCGGTGGGGAGGCAAAGCAGGATTTTCCTGAAGGTGTCAAGGGACTCCATGCAATGCTTTTCAAAAATCTATCTGGGGTGATGGGGGTGGGCTTAGATCAGCGTTAGCAATTGGGCCGTGGTCCTGGCATCTGGGCAGAAGATGCAGTTCTCTGAACCTGATGTGTACTTGGTGCTTTGACCTTCTCATCTTGATGGGGTTTGGGAGGTGTGATGCTGGAGGCAGGAGAAGGTTCTTGATGACCATCACCAGCCTAGTGTTCTCCCAGCCACCCCCGCTCCCTGCAATCTACCGTGTATGGAAACTGGACTTTCCAGACTCTGCTGACTGACTTCCAGCTAGTCAATGGGAAACCACGAAAGGTGGTAGGAAGGAGGAAGGGGTTAGCTCCTGCTTCCATTCTGTTCTGGAAATGCCTTTGACGCAAGTGGTGACAGCAGGGTCCTGGCTCTGGGGTGAGGATGAGGGACGGTGGTGTCTCACGTCAGCCCAGATTTACGTTCAGACAGCTGTGTGCACACTCCATAGGCACTTGATAGTCTCTTGATTTGTTTAAAAATCACGTCAGAAGCATTTGCAGTCACCCCTCTCAAATGGGACTACTCCTGGAAGGGGACATACAAGGTGTCCAAAGCTTGGCCAAGTGGAGTCAATACCAGCTGGAGCTCTCCCCGGGGAGGGAGAAGCTGGAAGCTGCAAGGCGTGGGAGGGCTCTGGTGGATGTGGGAGAAACCATGCTGCTGGCAATCCTCCCTGCAGCTTTGTTTGTGGATTGTGATTTATGTGGGGGTTCTTTCTCCTGTGGTCCCTCAAAATGGTGATATGGGAGAAAATTCCTGTATAATATACACAAAGACCTTTGAGGCTTGAGAATATTTCTCAGATTAAAACGATTCTGAGCTGGGTGTGATGGTGCTACTCTAAACCCAGCGCTTGGGAGGCTGAGGTAGGAGACTCACAAAACTGAGGCCTGCTGGGTAATATATGGAGTTCTAGGCCAGGTCACTTATTCACAGAAAAAGAAATCCCTCTTTTGACAGATGTCCTTCTGCTCTGTTTTATCTGCATATATAATAAACGAAGGCTACATAATTCCTTTTCATTCTTGTATAATCACTGTTTATTGAAAGACATGAGCTTTTCTTTTAGCTTTTAAATATTGAAGATATATACTATGAATATTCATGAGTAGGTTCATTTTATTTGATCAAGAGCACAACTGTTAGGCCATAGATTAACTGAATGTTAATTTTTAGGTCACAGGTTAATTAATGACTTAACATGCCATACTAAGTTATTTATAGGCCTTTATTTTTCTTCTAACATTCTAATATATATATGTATGTATGTATGTATGTTATACCTTATAAGTAATTACTAAATTATTTTCAGAGTAACATAGTTTTACCTTTTTTTGTTTGTTTGGTTGGTTTTTTTGAGACAGGGTTTTTCTGTGTAGCTTGGAGCTTGTCCTGGAATTCACTCTGTAGACCAGGCTGGCCTCGGATTAAAGGCATGCACCATCACTGCCCGACTAGTTTTACCTTTCTACCAACAAAAATGTAACATACAGTTTCTCCACATCCATCACCAGTTTAAAAAAAAAAAAAAAAGACTTGGATTTTAGGGCTGGGGAAATGTTCGTTAGTAAAGTGTTTGATGTTCAGTCATGAAGACCTGATCCACAGAACCCATGTGAAGAATAGTTAGGTGTGGTGGTGCTCACTTGTAATCCCAGCTCTGGGGAGCTAGAGACAGATGAATCTCTGGGCTCATTAGCCACGAGCCAGGTTATCCTTTGAGTGAGTTCCAGCCCAGTTGGAGACCTTGCCTCAAAAATCCAAACCAAACCAAAATAACAACATAGAGGGTAGATGGTGTTTGAGGAATGACGGTAGCTGAGGTTGTCTTTAGGCCTCCGCCTGCACATATGCACCACACACACACACACACACACACACACACACACACGCACGCACGCACGCACGCACGCACGCACGCACACACGCACGCACGCGCATATACACATACACACACACACACATATACTTAGGTGGCATATTATGTGACTTTTATTGGCTACTGGCGACAGCTTTAACTGTATGTCACCTGAGTGGATTCACACTTTTGTATCTGAGCACTGGCTATTTCTGTGGAATAGTTAGGGAGTCTTCTTTCTTAGTTTTGAGCGACAGAGTCGTCTGTCAAACACTAAAATGTTCCTTTTGGATAGTTCAAGAATTTCAGGCATAATAGGAATGAATTATAAATAGTCTGCTGTCACCACTTTGGTCGATTTCCAGAAAATGCATGAATTGCATGCAAGTGCTGCACAGACATATAATACGGCTAAACAAATAGTGTTGTCTATCCGTGAAGTGTCATGTAGAAGATGTGTGTGTGGGGGGTCCAATGGGTAAAGCCTTTGCCATGAAAGTGTAAAGCCTGAGATATCTAGAACCCATATAAAAGCCTTTGGGTATGGTGTCTGCCTATATGCTCAGAATGCAGGAGGTAGAGACAGTGGATCCCCAGAACAATCTGGCTAGCCAGATTAGCTTGATCGATGAGCTCTGAGTTCTACAAGAAACTTTGCTTCAATATGTGATATGGAGAGCCATTGAGGAAAACATCTTACATCAACTTTGGACCTGCACATGTGAACATGCATACATGCCTGTACACTACACATATACAAATGCTAAAAAAAAAGAAATGTCATGTAGTTCTTTTCTTTATCTGCTACAAGTTCATTCACACCTAAATATTGATAGTTGTGACTGTTGTTAGAATTAGTTTTGGCAGATTCAAGAGGCCAAGTGAGGAAATCCAAGATGTTTAAAAACCTCACTGAAAACAGAGTAGAAGGTTTTTAGTTGTCTTATAGTGGTCGTTTGAATGTTATTGGCCCCCATAATCTTGTAGGGAGTGGCACTATTAGGAGGTGTGGCTTTCTGGTAGTGGGTGTGGCCTTGTTGGAGGAAGTGTGTCACTGTGGGGGCGGGCTTTGAGAATACCTATGTTCAGTATACCACTGAGTGTCTCAGTTGACTTCCTGCTGTCTTCTGGTCAAGATGTAACCAGTATCATGTCTGTCTGCACACTGCCATGCTCCCTGCCATGACGATAATGGACTGATCCTCTGGAACTGTAAGTGAGCCACCCCAATTAAATTAAATGCTTTCTTTATAAGAGTTGCTGTGATCGTGGTGTCTCCTCACAGCAATAGAAACCCTAACTAAGACAGTCATCGTGGAATTAAAACTTCTTCATGTTTGAAGGAAGGAATACAAGTCACAAAGGTGACCCAAAATAACCGGGAGACATTTATACAACTAGGAGAAAGAAAACTAAAATCCCTGACGTGGGGGCTGGAGAGACTTCTCAGTGGTTAAGAGCACTGGTTCTTCTTCCAGAGGAGCGGGGTCCAGTCCTGGGCAAACCCATGGCAGCTCACAACTGTCTGTGACTCGAGTTCCAGGGGAACTGATGCCCTCTTGTGGCCTTCATGGACACCAGGCATGCAAGTGGTGCACAGACATAGAATACGGCTAAACATAAATAGTGTTGTCTATCCATGGTCTCTCTCAATAGTTGTAAGTTCTGAGCTCTGACTTGGGTAGGATGTAATGATATGAATTCCCATTCATTTGTACGCCGTAATTCTTCAGCATATCCTGGTGTTCCTTGGTGAACTACCCACAGACAAATAATCCCAGTCTTTGGGTATCTCCTAATGAGATTCCAGGATATTAGCTTCCGAAGGTTCACTGGGATGCTTAAAATCAAACAAACAAACAAAACAACAGAACTACCACCCTAGGAATAGTTCAGAAGTAGAAAAACTTTGGGGGACCAAAATTCCTTTGGCGACGATGAGATAGATGCTGGAAATGCTTACCTGGAAAACAGGGCCAACCCTTTTACAGGGGCCACACCACGCCGCTGAGAACTCCACCACCACCAGCTTGCTCCCAGCAACCGTTAACAACTCTTTCAATTCATCCTGAAACCAGAACACATGGGGAAATGTTCATGGTCCCAGACTCTCACAAAGTCTTGCAAAAAATAAAATGAAAATCTTGCGAAAAGTATAAGAATTGGGGAAGTCTTCCAATCCAGGCGCCCTACCTTTCTGTCCTCCAGCTGGTCCAACCTTTTCTTAGTGAGCCTGAGACTAGACATAGCTTTTTGTTTGGTGAGGACACGCGAGTGGTGATATATTGGCAGACAAGTTAGAAGTCTGCTTACCAAATGGCACAGAGGCAGCAGCTACCTTTGGGCGGAAGCGGGTCAGCCAGGGGGAAATGAAAAAGTATTAAGGTGAGAAGGGAGGTACTGTGCAAGCCGGATCTCTGTATTTAATAATTTTAAAGACAGATGAAATGCATCAGTGGTGGCATGTCTTGCTTCATGGGAGTGATCACTCTTAAAGTATTAATCAATACCATTCATTTAATGATTTGACTTTTTTCCCCTAAACTCCCTAAGTTAAGTTTCCAATACTTGTTGTTATCACTTAATTAAAGTCTTCCATCTTGGGACCTCAGGTCACTGTATTTATTTTATTTGCTTCTGAATGTCCTCAACTAGCTCTTTGGGGCCTGGTTTTTTCCTACTGGAGTCACTCTGGTTCACCCCTATTCTTCCCCAGCCCTTCACTTGTGGATGATGAGCCCTTATGGAATGCCCACTGGATGGAAGAAGGATAGCTACAGGAAGTGGATGCTCTTCACAGTTGATTTTCTCACTGGAATTGAGACTAGCTCATCCACTCTGATGTTCCGAACTATAGTCTTTACGCCCACCGTGTTCAGTGTATATTCTCATCCTATCCATTTCACACCCAAGGGCACAGACGTTCCCCAACTTCCCTGTGGCCAGCCAGCGGGTGGTGGTGCGGCTGGGATTGTTCACGTTGGCAGCTTGACGACAGAGCATATTTCTTCAACCAATACTGATTTCTCCCAGTGACGAACTGCACTCTTTTCACTGTGGTGAACAGCATCACCTTAAGCCCCCCTGGACTAGGTGTTAATCAGGTTAGTTCATAATTGGATTAAGCAGAGCAGAGCTATCCCCATTAGGGGTGGAGTTAATTCCCTAGAGATGGTATGCTTGCCCTTCAGCAAGGAGAACTTGATAATTAAGTTCCCATCAGGTGAGACTGATGATTCAAAGAAGGTGCTCCTACTTCCCGGGCCTGTATTTCTGCAGGATGGGTGACTGGGTTCTCAGGCAGCCCAGACAGGCATCCATTTCCCAGTTTCATCTGTGTTTCCTGTGGTATTAGCGATTAAACCCAGGGCATAGCACGAGCTAGGCGAAGTCTGCCTTTAGCCGTCTTGTTACTTTTTATTTTGAGATAGAATTTTACTGTCTTGCCTAGGCTGGACCTTGTATTCGCTATATAACCTAGGCTAGCCTCTAACTTGCAATTCTCCCACCACTGTCTCCCGACTAGCTGGAAGTACCAGCCTACATCACCACCAACCTGGCTTCTCCCACGCTTTTCAGGTTACATAGTGAGCTCCAAGCCAGCCAGAGTTACATGGGCTCTTCTTTCAGTGAGACCCCAAGACAAAAGACATAAAACAAACAAAAGAGTGGAAAGATCTCCCTTGACAGAGCGCGATGGCGGGATCCTGGATTGAGGAAATAATTCCAAGTGTTTAACAAGTCTCATTGAATATTGCTTTTGAAGGATCTTGAACTATCTCATGAAGCCAACGAAATACTTACCATGTCATTAATCATCTGCACCATGATTAACATCTGGGACTCGCTGATAATCCTCTCCTGTTGGTTCAGGTGGACCACTGTAGCTGTCCTATCAACTGTGGCATTCTGGGTAGAATATAAAGGTAGCTTTTCTGTGACATCATTGAATGGGTCATCTCAGAACCTGGAACTTTTTGGCAGACTTTGAACCTAGTTTCACCTTTAGGCTGTGACGAGGCAACTAGTTGGCCAGCCAAGACCCTGAAAACCAAGGGCTTTGGATTCAGAAGCCAATCGTCAGTTTCTCTCCTCTTGATCTTACCCTTTGGTCATTGATTTCTACACATTTCTTTCTTCTCTGACCTCTCCCACCTCAGCAGAAAACATTAACATCAGAAACTCACGGCTGAGTTCATGAAGAAATTATGAAGAAACTGTGCTGTGTCTCATCTGCCATGCAGTGGTGTGGTAGAGGAAAAGATGCCCATCTCTGCCCCTTGTCACCTGTGGCACGTAGGAGAGCTGGCCCTGTCCCTCACTAGCTGCAGCACTGGGGGAGAGTGGGTTCTGTACCTTGACTGGGCAGTGCAGTAGAGCTGGCCCTGGTGGTATCAGTGTGGATGAGCTGGCCCCAAAGGTGTGAGAGTGGGAGAGTTGGTGCTGCCCTTTATTGCCTGTGGCAAGAGTTAAGCTAGCCAGGGAAGTGCTGGAGAGCTTGCCCTGGTGATGAGGATGCAGGTGAGCTGGTGGGCTGACCAACTCAGCTGTCACCCAGGCCCAGATCCACAGCTATGAGTTGGCCCACCCCAACATCCACCCCATCAATGAACTGCTGGAGCATGTGAAGGGGCCGGTCCTGCAGAATCAAAGCTGCAGGACCTCCTTGACACAGGACAACAGCAGGACATCCAAGAGGAGTCCCAGTGAGGATCCGGACCGATAGTGTAGCAGAAGCCAGAGGCCGCTTACCAGACCAATGACTCAACTTAATGAACATTTGCAAGTAAAGATGTATGGAGGCTCAGTGTAACACTACAGTGTCCACGATGAAATTTTTGTTTTTGTCTTTTTTTTTTTTAATTTTTATTTTACTTTTCAGGAGGAGGTTGCAAGGGCAGAAGGCAGATACAAAGGGACAAAGAGATGAGTGGGATTGAGGTGCATAATGTGAAATCCACAAAGAATAATAATAAAAAACTGTGCTGTGTAGAAAAGTACTAACACTTTAATCCTATAATAAGCTTCCTGTAAATTCATTTCATGACTCACAGATTCCAGAACTTTGCTGTTTTGTTCTAAATCACTTAGACTATAAAGAAACTTCATTTTCACACAATCGGAAGTTGGCAAACTTTTTTTAAAAAAATATTTTTATTTTATAATTAATTTAATTTTACGTATCAGCCACGGATTCCCCTGTCTCCCTCCTCCCACCCCCCAGCCTTCCCCCTACCCCCCACCCCCCATTCCTACCTCCTCCAAGACAAGGTCTACCCTGGGGAGTCAGCCCAGCCTGATAGATTCACTTGAGGCAGGTCCAGTACCCTCCTCCCTACACCAAGGCTGAGCAAAGTGTCTCAGCATAGGCCCTAGGTTCCAAAAAGCCAGCCCATGCACCAAGGACAGGTCCCGGTTCCATTGCCTGGGGGCCTCCTAAACAGTTCAAGCTGATCAACTGTCTCACTTATCCAGAGGGCCTGGTCCAGTTCCATGGGGGCTCCTCAGCTATTGGTTCACAGTTCATGTGTTTCCACTAGTTTGGCTAGTTGTCCCTGTGCTTTTTCCAATCATGGTCTCAATATCTCTCACTCATATAATCCCTCCTCTCTCTCTCAATCATTGGACTCCTGGAGCTCCACCTGGGGCTTGGCCGTGGATCTCTGCATCTGCTTCCATCAGTCACTGGATGAGAGTTCAAAAAAAAAAACTTTTTTTGTAAGTAGCAAATAATATTTTAGGCTTCACGGGCCACATAACATTTTATTGTAGCACCATCTTTGTGTTTACAGCTTTTAAAAAACTGTAAAAAAAAAAAATAAAATTCTTTGCTAGCAAGCTGTACCAAAATAAATAAATAAATAAATAAGTAAGTAAGTAAGTAAGTAAGTAAGTAAAAAACCAAAAAGCAATCAATTTATAATTTTCCAGAATTGAAACAAAACAAACCTGGTCCTGGCTTCTGTTTCTCAATTTCTCAGAGCAACAAGATCAACAAAAGATATGAGAAATAGCTATTTCTCCAATAAAAGAAAAATGAGAAATATCTTTGTTTGGGTTTTCCATAGCCCCAGTCCTGTGTTGAAGGTCAAGTGGAGAGGCAGGTGGCTCTGCCTGGAGGGGACATGTGCATGTGTGCTAATTTAACCCCAGTCCCGTGTTGATGGTCAAGTGGAGAGGCCAGTGGTTCTGTCTAGAGGGGACGTGCACACATGTGCTAATGACCTTGGGCTTCCTTGACCGGGAAGACTGAACTGGGTCAACATGCTACTTTTGGTTGTGGGTGTGCTGCTATTTCTTCTATAACAAATAGAAGTATTTTTGATGTTTTTGTCCAGTATCTGCACCCCTATTTTTTGCCCCCTGAAATGCTTTACTTATATTGCTCTCTAGACCCCATTGGCATTAGAATTTGGTGCCTTCCTACTTTTGATTCTTCTGTCATTCCAACCAGGGTCTGACAAACTGCAGCTTAAAACAAAACAAGCAAGCCGGGCGGTGGTGGCGCACGCCTTTAATCCCAGCACTCGGGAGGCAGAGCCAGGCGGATCTCTGTGAGTTCGAGGCCAGCCTGGTCTCCAAAGTGAGTTCCAGGAAAGGCGCAAAACTACACAGAGAAACCCTGTCTCGAAAAACCAAAAAAAAAAAAAAAAAAAAACAAAACAAAACAAGCAAACACAAACAAAACCCCCAAATACAGAAACAAACTTCATGATTGCAGACTGAAGGTCTTACCTGCATGAATTCTCCCTTCCTTTGTCTCAGTTTTCATTCAAGAAGGGAAGCAGATGTGACTCAGACTGAACATCCTCTGAGCAAGGCCTTCCAGCCAAAGCCCTATGGATGCTTTGGACCATAGTTTTTGCTATCATGGCGGATGGGGGCGGGGGGCCTTGTTGGCATATAGCAGGATATTCAACAGCACAGGGATGTTGGGCTCTACCTACTGGTGTCACTAGCATCCCGGAGTGGTGACAACTCTAAATGACTTCTGGGGGTGCAAACTTGTGCTGGCTTTCAGCAACTACTGCTTCAAACAGAGGGCTGACTTCTAGGCATTGCTTCCCTGTGGTTTGCCTTGCAAGTTCCTGGATAGTTTTGTTTCCTCACCATAAGGTGAAACGATTAATGTGCAGCAGGTTTTGAAGCTTTGTGCTGCCAGAGCTGATTTAGAATTCAAGCCCCGGCCACTTGTCACAGAGAGAGACAAAACTAAAGGAGATAGTTCAGAATTAACTTTCAGACACAGCTAATTAATGGCAAACGTCTGCCTCAGTCTCTGGTTACTGGAGGGTTGTGAGGCTGAGCCATACTTCTGTCCTCCAGTGCTAAGACTTGCAGATTGCCACAGAACTGGCTGCCAAGCAGCTTGCCCAGCCCTAGGGCAAGGAGAGTACAGAGGAAGGCGCACAGAAGCCTGTTTGTTCTCAACTAGGGTTTAAGCAGCATTAAAAGCCAGAAAACAGTCAGGTTTATAAAACCCATATCTGAAAAAAAAAAAAAATGTTTGCTACATTAGTTCTCAAACAGGGAAAATTTCTAGTCTCAGACAAAAGGGTCCCAGTTAAAAAACTTTTTAGAATAAGAGAAGCCTGGGCATTCCCTTTGGACCTGGCTGGCTGCACTGTTTCCCTAACATGCGCTCACACGCATTTTCCTAACTCAATCCTGACATCGTCCTTGGAACCGTGAAAGTCGGAGGCAGTCTGGGGAGAGTTTCCTTATGAGCAATTGGAGCGGTGTTTTTGTTCTGCTTTACTTTGTTTGCTATTTAATAAACTGACACACAGACACAGTTCTGAGAGAAGTCCAGGACTTTAAAGACTTCTAAAAATGTCAAGAAAACCAGAGAGTGATTGTGGGAAGGAAGGAAGTAGAGAAATGAACGGAGGAAGGGAGTTGGTGAGAAGAAGAAGAAGAAGAAGAAGAAGAAGAAGAAGAAGAAGAAGAAGAAGAAGAAGAAAAGAAGACAGAATTACAATACAGTCAGTGAAGGAAAGAAAGAAGGAAGAGGGGGGAGAAAGAAATAGAGAGAGAAAGA